TGGCAGCCCTCAGAATGGTGGGAGGTGTGGGAAATGTTAGGCCAGAGAACACAAGCCTCACAGTCCATTATAAACTTTGGGACAGGGTTGAGGAGGGAATGAATGACCTTAAGTTATGAGCTGAAACAGTAGATGCCAATAAAGTGCCTAAGAAAATATGTCAAATAGATTGCTTTAGAAAGAGTTCAGATTTTTTTTCTAGTGTAAATATAACAGCAACTAAACTTAAAAGTCTTAAAATTAAAGAAACTACTTTTTCTTTTAACTTTTTTCTATAACCAAGCTCTGTTTAGTATTTAAAAGTATCTGAGTCAGATGTGGTGGCACACACTTTTAATCCCAGCAGAGCAGAGGCAGGCAGATCTCTGTGAATTCAAGTCCAGCCTGGTCCATATAGTGAGTTTCAGGACAGCTAGAGCTACATAAAGACCCTGTCTGAAAAATTAATAATTTAATTTAATTTAATAAAAAAAATCTAAAAAACTGAGACCACTAAACATTTTGATGAGAGAAAAAAATAGCTGAAGAGAACAATTCAGTAAGCAAGCATTGAGGTGCTCTCTTGGGAAGAAAATCAGTGATTTGCACTGATTGATGTAGATTCACAGGCTAGGTGGCTTCTACCACAGACATTTACTGTCCCCTGGTTTGGTTGTTTGTTTTTCGTGGGGCATTTTTGCTTGTTTGTTTGTTTGGTTTGGTTTGGTTTGGGTTTTGGTTTTCTGAAACAGAGTTTCTCTGTATAGTCCTGGCTGTCCTGGAACTCACACTGTAAACCAGGCTGGCCTCGAACTCCTAGAGATCCACCTGCCTCTGCCTCCTGAGTGCTGGGATTAAAGGAGTGTGCACCACCACTATCTCCTGATTTTAAAGCTGAGGGTTGGCAGGGTTGCTTCAGGGGAAAACTCTAGACAGATTAAATTAAATGAGGTTTACCGAGCGAAAAACATTTCACAACTCAAGCGACAGCCATCATGGAGGAGGTGGAGAGAAGCAGGCGAGCAGCTTTCATAGACCACAAAAGCAAACTAGAAAAATCACCTGATTGGCTACAGCCAGGCTTTTGCTTTATTGGGAGCTGTGTGATCAGCTGGATGCTGGTGACTGGCTGAAATATGACGATTTGTGATTTGCTGGAGCTCAGCTCTTTATGATGAAAATGACACTAAGTTGTGTTGTAGCTTTTTACCTAGGAACTGTAAGTTTGGAGATAGTCTCAGAGCAGTGGCTTGTTGCTGCTGCTGCTGCCTCCTCCTCCTCCTCTTCTCTTTTAGATTCTTTTATGAGTGTTTTGCCTGTATATATATATATATATATATATACACACACACACACACACACACACACACACACACACACACACACACACACACAGATTCTTCTCTGCCTGGCACTCTCTCGACAGTACCTGTATCGCCCTGAGACTCCAAACTCAGCCTTTCAACACTAACTACAGGCTTTGACTCTAACCTTCCCTCAAAACCCCTGACCCACCTAAAGATCGGGAAGTCACCCCATAATCTTTTCAGAAGGCCTGGTGGCTGGGTAGCCTGTAATTTCCTTGACTCGCATGGCCCATTCCCACAAAGCACAGATGGGCTCTGGACGGGACAATTGCTGGTATTTAGGAGACTCTGGATTGGCTCTTCAGGACTGATGGTTTTCCAGCAGCCACAGTTCACCGAGGGTTGTCTGGAGAGCCCGGTTTTAAAGGGTTGGAGGCGGGGTTTTGTTCCCCAACCCCTTTCCAAGCGCAGCCAGTGTGTCCACAGGGGTCCCACGCAACTGAAAATGGAAAAAAATCACCAAAACCCTTAACCAATTCACTTGCCTTCAATTTTCTGCCACGTATCACTCACAAGTAACATAAGAAACCGTTTTTCCTGCTGCCTGTGAGGACAGCCTGAAAATGGTTAGCACCAATGGCTGATTAGCCTGAGCCACAGGGAGGGAAATGTAAGATGTTAATGTTGCTTTTTTTATATGGAGCATTATGGAGTATTAATAAACACTTATTTTTCAGTGTCAAACACCACAATATGTACCTATCCCTAAAAGTGTTTGCAAAATAGGCAATAACTGCTCTAAATAGACGGTCCCTGAATGGCGAATAAATAAATAAAAATAAGAAATAAGAAAATTAACAACAGGAAAGAAGAGTTTTGTGTGTGTAGGCTGACGGGGGTGGGTGTGGGGGTGGGGGGAAGGCCACCAGGGGTGTCCATGACTCAGTCTTGTCCTCACTGGTACCCTTAGCACAGCAGGGAGGCAGGGCCACCGGCAAGAGCAATGTCTATTTTTATTTGTTTGTTTGTTTGTTTGTTTATTGGTTTTTCGAGACAGAATTTCTCTGTGTAGCTTTGTGCCTTTCCTGGAACTCAATTTGTAGACCAAGCTGGCCTTGAACTCACAGAGATCCGCCTGACTCTGCCTCCCAAGGGCGCCACCACCGCCCAGCTAAGAGCAATGTCTATAGGACAAATTGGATGCCAGGGAGGGGAGCTCTGGAGCTCTCGGGAATGGATTGAGTTCCAGATCAGGAAATGGAAGAGCGCTGAGGATGGATGGTGATGGTTGCATAACAACGTTGTACTTAATGCCAATTAGTTATATATTCAAAACCGGTCAACACAGAGGTGGGCGAAAGGAACTGTAACGTAGTAGTAGAATATACACACGAGGCCCTAGGTCCAGCCTTCTAGTACCACCACACACATACCTCAAGAAGGTAATTTTTTTGTTTTGTAAATGTTGTCAAAGTAAAAAAAAATATACATTGAGTATGTATTTTACTTTGATTCTCAGAAGAGACAGTAAGCTTAAGAAAATCATACATGGTGTGCTGGTTTTGACTCGATGTTTTTCCTCCAACTCTAGCTGGCCTTCCGTGTCTCAATGCAGTATGCTTCTGCACAGCCATGAGGAGGAGTCAAGGGTTCAAGGGCAGGGTGAGCTGAAGAGAGCCATCTAGACCCAAGCTCTGGTTCATGTCAGGATCCGAGAAGAAAGAACGAAGCTTATCCCAACCACTCCAGATCCAGAGGATCTAATGCCCTCTCCAACCTCTGCAGGCATCTGCATTCATGTGGTACACAGACTTGTAGGCACACAAAACACCCATATACATGAAATTAAAATAAAAGCCTGGCCGGGCGGTGGTGGCGCACGCCTTTAATCCCAGCACTCGGGAGGCAGAGCCAGGCGGATCTCTGTGAGTTTGAGGCCAGCCTGGGCTACCAAGTGAGTTCCAGGACAGGCGCAAAGCTACACAGAGAAACCCTGTCTCGAAAAACCAAAAAAAAAAAAAAAAAAAAGCCTGATTGTCTCCCTTGAGTTCCCTGTTGTACGTGTCATTCCGGGTATTGTTTTAAAGGAAAGTCAAGTCCAAGTGTAAGAGGGATGCTTTGGAGATTCAAGATATACTGTTTACGCTACATTTGTGTGTGTGTGATTGTAAAAAGGAGGAATTGGGTATAATATTTCATTACCTGTGGGGTTCATATGTTATGTTACATTTGTTCCATTTAAATCAGGGATATTACTGCTGCCTCCAGGTTCCTGCCATTTGAGTTCCTGTCCTGACTTCCTTAGATGATGAACAGTAATATGGATGTGTAAGCCAAATAAACCCTTTCCTCCTCAACTTGCTTTTTGGTCATGGTGTTTCATTATAGCAATAGAAACCCTAACTAAGACAACATCCCTCATCCCTCCTGAATCTCCAAGGCTGACAAAACCATTCTACCTATTTTTTCAAATTGGTCTCTACTAGGTATCTTCTATCATTAGAATCATGCAGTTATTTGTGCATGTGACGGAGTGTGTGCATGTGTGTGTGTGTGTGTGTGTGTGTGTGTGTGTGTGTGTGTGTGTGTTAATTCACTTTCTATTGCTATGATAAAATAACATGACTAAAAGCAATTTCGGAGGTGTCTTAGTTAGGGTTTCTATTGCTGTGAAAAAACACCATGACCACTGCAACTCTTATAAAAGAAAACATTTCATTGGGGCAGCTCACTTACAGTTTCAGAGGTTTAGTCCATTATCCTCATGGTGGGGAGAATGGTAATGTGCGAGCAGACATGGTGCTAGAGAAGTAGCTGAGAGTCCTACATCTTGCAGGCCACAGGAAGTCGACTGAGACACTGGGCAGTATCCTGAGCATAGGAAACCTCAAAGCTCACCCCCACAGTGACACACTTCCTCCAACAAGGCCATACCCATTCCAACAAAGCCATGCCTCCTAATAGTGCTACTCCCGATGAGATTATGGGGGCCAATTACATTCAAACTACAGCAGGAAGAAGGGGTTTATTTGGCTTACTCATTGCAATCACAGTCCAGCATGAGAGGAAGTCAGGGTAGAGACTCAAGCAGGAACCTGGAGATTGGAGTAGAAACAGAGGCCTTGGAGCTGTGCTACCTACTGGCTAGTTTCCCACAGTTTATTCTTCTATTTTACACAGCCAGGATTATTTGCCCTGGGGTAATACCACCCACAGTGGGCTGGGCCCTTCTAAGTCAATAATTAATCAAGAAAATGCCCGACAGACTTGCCTACAGGCCAATCTAATGGAAGCAGTTTCTCAATTGACATTCCTTCTTTCCAGGTGACTCTTTGTATCAGGTACACAAAAAAATAACCAGCACATATATGTATGTGTATATGTGTGTGTTTATGTATGTGTATATATGTGTGTACATGTGTGTATATATAAACATGGGACTGATTTGTTGTTTTTAACATAGTCTTTCATTTTCATTCATGTTGTAGTGTGTGTCTGATTTCCTTCCTTTTGATCCATGAACATTCCATTGCATGTATTTCTCACATTTTGTTTGTCCGTCCATCCTTTAATGGAAGTTTGAGGTTGCTTCTGCCTTTCAGCTACTATGTGCAATGCTGCCCTGTGCCTGTGTGTGTGAATGTTCAATGGAAATGATGACTGGTGAGCTCTGAGTGTCCAGAAAAATAAAGTAGGTGACCTCTCTCACACTAGTACTGAGAAATCATTTATTTCATGGAACTGGAAACGTTAGAGCAGGAAACAGTTATAAAACCATCCTCTCTATTTATTTACAGACAAGGAAACAGACATGAGGCAACCAAACAAGGATGTCTTATAAAATGTGCAGCCTCTTGCAGGGGGAGGGGATGTTGGAAGGGAACCCCTCTCCCAGGCAAAATTATCTTCATGGCTTGTCATGTCACATACCTCAAATTCCCTGCACTGGAGATAGATTTACTTGGATGAAGACACTGGTAATATTACCAGAAATTTTCTAGTAAAATATAAATAGCTCCAAGGAAGTCATTGCTGACCCACAATCCCCTGTCTGGAAAGGCTGGTTTTCCACAGAACAGGAGGTTAGAGTAGGGTGCTGTGGGAACAGAGCTGCACCAACTGTGGTGGGCAGGAGTATTCCTGAGTGTAATCCTGAGTGCAGATGCTCCACAAGATACAGCTGCCTCATTCGGGGTCCAAGCATCCAGCAGTCGCCAGTACCAAATTCAGAGGCTAAAGGTGTGATGGAGTTGGGAGTGAATCTTTAACCGCAGCACTTAGAAGGTAGAGGCAGGTGGATCTCTCTGAGTTCAAGGTCAGTCTGGTCAGTTCCAGGCTAGCCAAAGGTATATAGTGAGATCTCAAAAAACAAACAAACGAAAGAAAAAAGGCTGAAGACTAAGCTAGCTGTGCTGGTAGATTCCTGTCTTCTTAGCGTTTGGAGGGAAAAGGTAAAGATCTTAAGTCCTTGGCTAGCCTGAGCTGCATAGCCAGGCTCTGTCCTTCAAAGCGGGAGTGGGGCTGGGTGTGGTGGTGCATACCTTTGATCCCAGCACTCTGGAGACAGGCAGAAGATCTCTGGGAATTCAAGACCTGCTCAGTCTACATCATAAGGGCTACTACAGAGAGAGAGACCTTGTCTCAAGAGGGGGGTGGCCACTTAAGATTCACCAAGGCAACTGACAGTATACCGTGCTGCATTTCAAAGTGCATGCCTTCTGTAAGCGACTGTGCTGAGACTCCAGTCTGGGTGTTAATGTTGCAGGTCCTTCTCCACCACCATCTGAGGCATACTCATTATTTTCTTTAGCTAGGCAGGAGAGAGAACAAGAGAGATTTTCAGAAAGGATTTTTTCAAGATGAAGTAAAAGAGAAAGTTACTATTAGAAGTGTGTGTTTCCTTATTTTGCCCTCAGATAGGAAAAAGTCTAGTTCTCACTGAATTCGTGGAGTTTTTTTGTTTGTTTGTTTGCAAGAAGACATGGAGACTGAGTAATTAATGACGGAGATCTGAGTGATTAAGAATGTTTACAGACATTAGTTATATGTTTAAGGAACTAGGTAGGAATCATACTCAGATGAGAACCCAGAAGAAAATCCGCTTTGGTTTTTATTTTGTTGTTGATTTTCTTTTTGTTTTTGTTTTTTTTTTTATTTTGTTTTTTTTTTCAGTTTTTTGAGATAGGGCCTCATGTTTCCCAGACCATAGGTTCTAGATCCAAGGATGACTTTGAAATCCTGGTCCTCCTGAATCCAACTGCCAGGGTTTACAGGCATGCACCACCACGCCCAGCCCTGAAGAGAATGTGATGGCAAAGCTGCAGATCCCACACCCAAAGATTCAATCAATCAAAGATGGAAAATATTTGGGGAGTGGGGGAGCATGCACCTGGAGTATACACACACAGACTTTTGTTACTTTTCAATCTTCCTTAAACAGTACAGGACAACAACTATTTACACAGCCCTTGCATTTATTGAGTAGTATAAGTCATCTACAGATGATCTGAAGGATATGGGAAGACATACATAGGTTATATGCGAATACTATGCTGTGCTAGTATATAAGCTTTATGGACTTGAATATTCACAGATTTTAGTACAGGATGGGGTGTGTGTGTCTGGAAAAATCCTTCAAGAATAAAAAGGGTCCTTCTATTGTGATGTGTATTCTATTGATAAGCGTAATCTACAGTGGCAAAATAAATTGGTACCAAATTAATTAAACAATAAATTAATAAATGTAGCTCCTAACATCAGTCCAGTTCCCTTTGTGATTGTGTTTGGTTTATGTTACAAGTTAACCAAGTCAACATCACACACCCCAAGAGGCAAGCCTCACATTACCTTTCAGTTTCTTCCCAGGAGGGTTTTTAACCTGTGTCTCCCATGGCCTAAGAAAGAACACCAGAGCCTATCGTACAATCCTCTTTAACAGCTCCTACCACTGAGTTAATATTCTAAGAACTGAACTAGGGACTGTTAGATACCAGTGAAGCTCCCCTCTCCAGTCTGCAAGCTCCATTTTGTCTTTCTGTTGAATACACGCATACACACGTACAAGTACACACACAGACACAGACAGACAGACAGACAGACACACACACACACACACACACACACACACACACACACACACGTTTGAAGAGATGGTTCAGTGAGTAAAGTACTACTGTGGAAGTGTAGAACCTGACTTTGGATCCCCAACAGCCATATAAAAAGTCAGATGTAACAATATAGGCCTATATCCCAGCATCAGGAAAGCAGACACAGGCATGTCTGTGGAGCTTCCTAGCCAGCGAGTTAAGCCAAGGAGTCCCAGATTGATTAAGAGAGCTTGTCTCAACAAACACCCTACATTTGACCTCTGATCTCCACATACACACACACATACACACCCGCACCCTCACACATAACATACACACACAATTAAGGGATTCACGTAGATACCTGTAGTCGCAGCCAAAATGAGTCCAGGAGTTCTGGAAAACCTGGGGGATGTAGGAATGGGGGCGAGGGAGGGAAGGAGAAAGGCAGGGCATAGGGCATCCCTTCAATAGGCTAGAATACATTCTTCTAGCATGTCTCATACTGTTGTACCCTGACTGATCACTTGGCATAGATTTTCAACTTTATAATGGTATAAATGTACGCCTACGCAACCGTTTTGCTTTTCACTTTGAGTACAATATTCAGTAAGATACCTGGCACATAACACTGTCATAAAATAGTTTGCTTTAGATGGTTTTGCTCACTGAAGATTAACCTAAGTGTTCTGATTTATGTTAAGGTGGGTGGGGCTACGCTAGGATCGTCAATAGTTTGGGTGTCTTCACTGTCCTTTTGGTTTATGATATTTTGATTGGCAGTGGGTCTATCAGGATATAACCCCTGCATCAGCAGACATGTGTCTGTCTGTATACAGTTGTGCAGCTGGCGTGCATCCTTTGATGTTTACAGTCTTCACAGGTCTCCTTCAGGCTTTTAAGTAGAGGTGTGAGCAGGGTTTGGTCTCTCCAAAGCCCATTCAGAACGCACCCCTGCAAGCTGTTCTTGCCGTCTGGTCCCTCTCATGTGAGTGGCAGCCACACAAAAGCAAAGGAATGCCGCCTTTATAACATGCTAGCCAAGAGGGATCAGCTTTGGCCGGAACAGAAGCCATCCTGGTGACCAGAGGATCATGCATAAAGATAGCAGATGAGAGAAGATGCCCTGTCAGGTGGACTTGGAGGAGGAGGATGGTAAAGCTGGTATGTAGAGCAGGCGCCAGAATCAGCAAGAGGAACTGGAAATATGAGCTGGTTGGTCTTGGATAGAAATAGTGTGTTGTTGCTGGGAGTAGAAGGGACCATGGAAGAATCAAGCAGGAAACTAAGGAAAGAAGAAAAGAGCCGTGAAGGAGAAGCACTGGATGTAGTCACAGAAGTGGGGAGGAGGCCCACACAGGGTACACACCCTTCAGCTTCCAATGCTATTTCCCCATGGAAGGAAGGGTGCTGTGGGATAATCTTTTTTTTTTTTTTTTTTTTTTTTTTTTGGTTTTTCGAGACAGGGTTTCTCTATGTAGCTTTGCGCCTTTCCTGGAACTCACTTGGTAGCCCAGGCTGGCCTCGAACTCACAGAGATCCGCCTGCCTCTGCCTCCCGAGTGCTGGGATTAAAGGCGTGCGCCACCACTGCCCGGCAAGGGATAATCTTTTTATACACTGTGAAGATGTGTCTTTGCCAAGACATCTTCTGATTTGTTTAATAAAAAAAAACAGACTGGCTGGTAGCTAGGCAGGAGGTATATATAGGTGGGACAGCCAGACATAGAGGACACTGGGAAGAGAAAGGGTGGGGTCTCAGAAGTCTCTGGAAACACAGAGAGAAGGAAGATGAACATGCTGTGTTGAAAGAAGGTACCGGGTTGGGGATTTAGCTCAGTGGTAGAGTGCTTGCCTAGCAAGCACAAGGCTCTGAGTTCAGTCCTCAGCTCTAGAAAAAAAAAAGAAAGAAAAAAGAAAGAAAGAAAGAAAGAAAGAAAGAAAGAAAGAAAGAAAGAAAGAAAGAAAGAAAGAAAGAAAGAAAGAAGGTACCACCACATGACAGAGGGTAGATAAGAAATATGGATTAATTTAAAATGTAAGAGTTAACTAGTAACAAGTCTGAGCTATCAGCCAAACATGTATAATAAATATTAAGTCTCCGTGACAGTTATTTGAGATCTGGTAGGCCCTATGTAGCCTTCCTCCCTCAACCTGCCTTTCCTTTGGTCATTGTCCTTACTTAGTTTTTCTTACTTTCTCTGCAGATATGTGCCCCTTATAGGAAGTCTACCTCTGTGTATCACCCCTGTAGCACTTGACAAGAACCTCATAAGGGAATTCCAGCTTTGTGATAATAGCCAGCTCCATCTTTCAGGTCCAAATTAGGGTTTCAGATGCAATTAAGGTCCTAACAGCAAGGCTTCCCACTCACAAAAGGCTGGAGGCATCTAGCCATGAGCCAACACAATAAGAAGTAGAAGCTGACTGGGGAGTCAGGAAGAGGGCTAGGGAAAGGTGACATAAGAAAAGGCTGTTGTTGGCCGGCGGTGGTGGTGCACGCCTTTAATCCCAGCACTTGGGAGGCAGAGGCAGGCAGATCTCTGTGAGTTCGAGGCCAGCCTGGTCTACAAAGCAAGTTCCAGGAAAGGCACAAAGCTGCACAGAGAAACCCTGTCTCAAAAAAAAAAAAAAAAAAAAAAAAAAAAGAAAAGGCTGTTGTTGGATGTGGTCACACGCCTTTAATCCCAGTACTGGGGAGGCAGAAGCATGTGGACCTCTATGAGTTCAAGGCCAGACTGGTCTACATCGCCAGTTCCAGGCTAACCAGGGCTACACAGTGAGATCCCATCTCAGAAAAACAAAAAAGAAAAGGCTGTATACATGAGAGAGAAATACAAAGTCCTAGGTGGTCACTGTGATCTTTGCAAAAGTACAGGTCTGAGAAATGAGGAGTAGCTGGGCATGGTGGCACACGTCTTTAATCCTGGCACTGGGAGGTAGAGGCAGGTGGACCTCTGTGAGTTCAAGAACAGCCTAGTCTACAAAGCAATTTCCAGGATAGCTAAGGCTGTTACATGGAGAAAACTTGTCAAAGAAAGAAAGAAAGGAAGGAAGGAAGGAAGGAAGGAAGGAAGGAAGGAAGGAAGAGAGGAAGGGAGGAAGAAAGAGAGGAAGGGAGGAAGAAAGGAAAGAGAGAGAGAGAGAGAGAGAGAGAGAGAGAGAGGGAGGGAGGGAGAAAGGAAGGAAGGAAGGAGGAGTAAAGGCATCAAAGGTTGGCAATGTGAGAAGCTGCACAAAAGTAATTACAACATTGATGTCGTGGCCACTGAAAGCCATACAGATTCCGAGGTCTGGGCTGCCACCTGAGGCCATGCTGACATCCGGGCTGGCCCCCTCCTTGTCAGCAACCAAAATGGGAGAGATGGCCTCACCCCTTACCGTGTTCTTGGGAGAGCTGACCTTGATGGTGTGGGTGCAGGAGAGCTGGCTCTACCCTTTGCCTGGAGGGGCGAGTCCCTGTAGAGGCCCAGCCTGATCTACTCAGCTACCACCCAGGCTCACATCCAAGGCTTTGAGTCAGCCCACCTCAACTTCTACCCCATCTATGACCTCTGGAGTATTTGAAGGGATTGTTCCTGTGGAACCATAGCCACTGGATCATCATGACCCAGGACAACATCAGGATATCTGAGAGAAGTTTCGGTGAGGGTCCAGTATTGACGATGTACCAGAAGCCAGAGGTCTTGAACCAGACCAACAACTCATTGCAAGTTGAACATTTGCAAGTAAAGCTGTCTGGGCATAAGGGTATACTGTGTGACACACAGCAGCTCCCAGTGCAACTACGACTAATGAAGAGGTGATGGAGAGGCAGGAAAGACAATGGAGCAAAATGTTTTTCTTTCTTTTTTTTCTTTTGGGGGGAGGCTACAAGAGTGGAGGGCAGACATGGAAGAACTGGGAAATGAGTGGGATTGGGGTACATGATGTGAAATTCCCAAAGAATCAAAAAAATGTAAAAAAAAAAAATATTTGCAACACCTGGACTCTTTTTTGGTATCAGAAAAAAAACGTGAAGGTCAACAGATTGGATCAATGGAGTCTTTGTGCTGGTCCTGCTGTTTGCTTTGTTTTGTGTTTTTGAGACAGAGTCTGGCAGTGTGGCTCAGGTTGGCCTTGAGTTCTTTACCCTTCCTCCCCCGCCTCTGAGTGTTAGTATTAGAAGGCTGTGCCCCAACAACTAGCTTAATATGGATCATGAGTGGTGCCATGCAGACATTTATCTGGAAGAATCCTGTGGGCACCTGGGCTCAAGGTCAGTCATATGACTCATCTGACCAACAGAGGAGTTGACGAAGACCATGGTCCATTTCAATAAGGTCCTCAGGAGTGACTCTTAGGAGTAAGGATAGCACGAGGCACTTAGTCAGGATAAAGTAAACAAGGGGTGTGGAGAAAGGGAGATAGGAACGGTCCTTTGCTTTAGGAAATGCAGACTCATGAGGCACCATGTCCATATGGCCTACCAGACAGTTCCCCCAAGTTCTGTGACATCCCATCCCTCCCGTCACTTCTGCAAAGAACACAGTAGGAGGGGCTTGTCATCTGGAGACTTGGGACACTGGGCCATGGTAGGCCTAAATACAATACTAGGCAGTCATCCGCTGGTGTGTACAGGGAGTTGTTTCGGAACACTCCTTGTCATGGAGATGAAAATCCATGGGTTCTCAAGTCTCTTATATAAAAACGGCAAATACTTCATAGAACTTACACAAAACCTCCATATCCTCCCACACACTTTAGACCTTCTCCAGGTGATTTATACTACCTAAAACAATAGGAATGCCATCTCAGTAATTGTTACAGTGTGGTGCACAGGGAATAAGGGCAAGGAAAATGTCTGTGACATGTAGTAGAGGAAGTCTATCACATCACAACACAACACGCAGCTACACAGGCACACTGCCCAGACCCTGAGGAACCTGCACTGCAGTGTGCCATGGCATTTAGGCATGTTGATGTGTGTGCTACAGGCTGGGAATGTAGCTCAGTTGGTAGGAGGCTTACTTTGCATCTGTGAGACCCTGGGTTTGATCTCCAGCACCATTTTAAAAAGTGAATACTGGACCAGGAGAATAGTTCAGACAGTAAACAAGCCTCCGGAGTGGATGGTTAGCCCTAGAACCTACATAAAAGCAAACAAGAAACTTGGCATGCTAATGTGTACCTCTAATCCCAGCACTGGGGAGGCAGAGAGAGGAAGATCCCTGGGCTCAGTCAGCTTTCCTCAACTAGTGAGTTCCAGGCCTACAAAAGTCATTGTCCAAAAAAAAAAAAAAAAATCAAGTGGATGTTGCCTGAGGATAATGACATCCAAGGTTGTCCTCAGGTTTCAACACACACACACACACACACACACACACACACACACACACACACACACACAGGAAAGTACACACTTTCATGCATGCACATACACGTGCACCTGCACACACATAAACACATGCGTGCACACACGCAATGCATGTAAAAATATGTTCTATAATGTAACAAGTTAATCTTATTTTGTTGCTTTCTACCATAAAGCTCCCTTCAGCCACAAACTTGCCCCTTTTTTTGTGACAACCTGAGTTCCAGCCTCAGAGGCTACATCTAGGGATCTGGTTTGAGCAAGGACGCTTGGCTTTGAATCCAATTTGAGAAGTTGGGGGTGGAGCAAGAGCTGGAAGGTCATAAATGAGAAAGGTGGGACCCGGAATGAGAAAGGCAACAGGCTCTGGCTCCATTAAATTGTCTTTGCTCCATTTCTTTTCCCATGTGCTGGATTGAAGTATGTTTGTCCTCAGCCATAAGAACCAGATCTTTTCGGGCCCATTAGTTAACAAATCACATCTCCATCTCCACGCTCGGCTATAAAGACCTAGTGGAACTTGTGCCTACCCGGCTGTAAGGCAAACTAGAAAGCCAAGGCTTAGCTGTATTCATTCTTAGAAAGTGCTTGCCACTTAGATTCAGGAATTTGATTTTTCAAGTTTTCATAATTACTTCACCCAAATCAGTTTGTGTGGAAACTGCTTTTGACCAGAATTTTTTTTTTCAGACAACCATCATTAAGCAATTGTATTGCTCTATCTCACTTTATACAATTTTCACTGAAAGCACATTGATAAACATCAGCCAGGCCAGTTACTGGATGTCACCCTCGCTCCCCGAGGGCAAATTTCCAGAGCAGTCTGTACCTGTTGGCCGGTCCTCACAGGAACACAGTGATAACACGGCTCTTCTGGAAAGTTTGCAGGCATGTTGACCAAAGAAACTCAGAAATGAGGCAACAAGGGCCATAGGTTGTGGCTTTCTCTTTGGAGGGACAGAGTCTCCTGCTTCTGCCACAAAGCAGGCCAAGGGGCTGCTTTCCTGGAGTTCCAGGGACAGGAGAGCCTTCTGTCCCTTAGCTGCTACTTCCTCCTTCCTTGTTTACTCAATAGCCTGCAGCCAGAGGTTGCAAGGAACTCTGCAACACTCTGGGGGAGGTGGCGACTACTTGTCCTGAGCCTCCAAGCTCGTGGGACAGTGGGCCATCGTTCACCAAGATGGTTACAGGTTAACAAAGAAGGGACTGGACTCAAGAAGAGGTCCAAGTTCTGCACAAGAGAGCAGACTCTAAATGTAGCTAGAGGCAGAGCACTCCCTGCAAGGGAAGATTGCCTGAAGGAAAGGCTCCAGCACCTATAACCGAAAACTGATTAACCGCAGTTCCCGTGTGCACTTCTCTGACTGTTAAGATAGAACAGTGGACCAGCCATGCACGTCCTCCTCATTGGTTCCTCCAGTTTCAGAAAGACGAGGCCCACTAACATGCGCAGTGTAGCAGAGTGACCAGGAGGCCAGGGAGAACTCAGGAGGTGATGAGTAAGTTGAGAAACTAATGATAACAAGGAAGAGAGGGCTTTAGAGCAGAGGATGATTCTGCGTGCCACACCAAGGTTCTCATGTGACACTCCAAGCCCCATAGCTTCATCCTTGAAGGTTGTAGAGGGGGTAGGGTGGAACTGATGTGTTCACAGATAACTACACTCACCCATTGGCTCTTGAATTGTGGGTAGTTTTGAGGGAATGGAGTTCCTACATAACAAGGGCCCAGTGTGCAGAGCACAGTTTCTCTTTAAAGATTCAAATGCATCCTGAGCTGCAGAGCTCTTAAAATGTGTTAACAGTTGTTGTTGGTTGGTTGGTTAGTTGGCTGGCTGGCTGGTTGGTTGGTTGCTTAGTTGGTTTTTTTGGTTTTTCGAGACAGAGTTTTTCTGTGTAGCACTGTCTGTCCTGGAGTTCACTCTGTAGACCAGGCTAGCCTCGAACTTACAGAGATCCCCCTGCCTCTACCTCCCAAGAGCTTGGATTAAAGGTGTGCACCACCACCCCCAGCTCCACATTCCCACACAAGTCCCTCTGGATCCCATATGTTGCCACACCATGCTGGTTGTGAGGTGGGCCCAAACACTTGCATCTCTGGTCTCACTGGTCCTGTCTGTAAAAGGAGAGAAAACGTAATCACGTAAGGTTTACACAAGTAACTTCTAGGAAAGCACGTGGATGGGAACTGGCAGTCCGGCCTTGTGAGCTACTGCACTGCTGAGGTTCACATGACCCATCACCCACCTCTCTCCTGCGACTCCTCCTTCCTTGGGCTTCTGCGGCTTTGCACTAGACTGACTCTCTTTCTTTGACAGTTCCATTTCAGGTTACTTTACAGCTTCCCCTTCTTCCTCTCACTTCCTGGAAGCCCTTCAGAGTGCTCAGAAACTCCATCCGTGTGCCGTGACACCAGTTATCGCCTCAATGTCGACTAGTCATAAGCCTGTCTCCGGCCCAACCTCCCCCGCACAGGACCTCACCCACTCTCTCAGCCTTGCTGCTCCCTACCCATGTCACATCAGCATCTCAGACCCTGCTTACCATCTTTCCCAGACCTGGTCCTTCTTCAGAAGTGCTCTTTGACGGTGGGCAGCTTCCCCACTACCCCACACCGAAGACTCTCCTCCTCCACACTGTAGTGTGCCACACCTAGGGAATCAGTAAAGCCCGGCCTGATGCCTCCCCAGCAGCTCCAAAACCATCATGTCATTCTTCCCTCACCACCCCCACATCTTATTATGGTCACTGTAGCTATGGCAACCTCCTCCCAAAGATCTCCTTGCCTCTGGTATGTGTCTGTTATCTCTACTTCCCTTTGCTCAAGTCCCACACACCACAGTAAACTGACCTCACACTGTTCAGAGTTGAGAAAGGCCGTTCAAGCTCAAATTTTCTCCACCTACCATCCCACCAAGCCTCCTTCTGTATCTGCTGGCGTCCTCAGTTCTCCTCTTGACCATCCCTTCTTCTGAACTCCACGTCCTTGCCTGTTACTGTACTCTAGGGCTGCTCATCCACACTTACCCCTCTCCTATCCCTATCCACACCAAGTTCCAATTCCCATTATCCTAATAAAGGGTTGGTGCCAAAGGCAAAGGGATTCCCACCAGGGCTGGAAAGTAAACATGCTAGCTGCCAGTGCCAACATCCAGACTTTCTTCTGGCACATCAACTATCACCAGGGATCACAGCCCAGCTGAGAAAACCAGCAGCCGTGTGGCAAACACCAAACTCAATGCACTGAGGAGATTAGACCCTGGGGAAATAAGCACTACAGGAAAGAGGTGAGCGTTAAATTAAGTATAATTAGTGTCTTGGGAGGAGGTGTGCGAGGATGCTAAATCCATGAATGACCGGCTGCTCCGAAGAAGATACCAGAGTGCCGGGAAATTGAACACATAATTGCTCAGTGAGAACTCAGCTGATGGGGCCAGTCACAGAAGGTTGCCCTGAGTGGTGTGAGTCAACTGAATGGAAAGATGGGCTGATTTGCCCAAAATAAAGGTCAAAGGTTAAGAGATTTGATGTGAGGCCTGATGAGATGGCCCAGCAGGTAAAGGCACTTGCCACCAAGCTGGACAACAGGAGTTTGAGTCCCAGGCCCCACATGATAAAAGGAATGAACTGACTCCGGAAAGTTGTCCTCTACACACACCATGGCATCATGACACGCATACAAATGCATACATAAATAAATTATTAAATGTAAAAAAGCATAATGTTTTAAAGAAAGAAAGGGATGTAGGGAGGAACATAGAGTAAGGGACACGAAAGCCTGAGCCGTGGGTCACAGCCGCACACACAGCCGCACAACAACCCAGGACCTGGTCAGAGCCAGAAGAGAAATACATTTTACAAGAAAGATTCAAGTCCTTTTATCTTTTTGAGATAAAGTGGTTTTGAGATTATTAAATAATGTGGAAAAAATACTGAGGAACCCATAGTAAGTAGCTGTCATTTCCATTATTAGAAAAATTATTATATATATTATAGGTGTAAATGGTAACAGTTTATTACCATTTCTCCCCGCTCCACATCCCTTTAGAGACAGGATCTCACTACATAGCCCCGGTTGGCCTGGAACTTGCTCTTCTGCCGCCTTTGCCTCTGAGTAAAGGGGGTCACAGGCCTACACCACCACATCTGTGCACCACCACATCTGTGCACCACCACATCTGGCAAGCATCCTTCAAATAACACTGTTTGCTTCATGCAAAACAAATGGATTCCCTTCTCGGTCTTTCAGATCTTTCTCTCTCTCTCTCTCTCTCTCTCTCTCTCTCTCTCTCTCTCTCTCTCTCTCTCTCTCTCTCGGAAACATACACAGCCTTTCAACTCCCGTCACACATCCTCTCTTCTTGTGTAGCCCTCTCCACGGGCTCAGCGCCTGTGCTGTTCACAGGCTGTGCCTGATGCCTCTTGGAAGGCAGTCAGTCCAGCACCCACCCAGGGCAGAGCCCAGCAAACAAAAGATGAGTGGATGAAAGCTCAACCAAGCACCCTCTCTCCCACACCTCCACTGCCTCCAGGGTGTGTGTGTGTGTGTGTGTGTGTGTGTGTGTGTGTGTGTGTGTGTCCCCTGATCAAGAGTGTCCCTGGGCTGAAGGATTCTTCCAGCAAGAGATCTGATTGGGCGCTGCTGGAGGCAGGCCCCCTGCAGTTGCCAGGAGGGAGGAGGAAGAAAGTCTCAGTGGGCAGCGATAACAGGAAGTAGAATCAATCTCCCAGAAGTACAGTGTAAGGAACAGGGTGTCTCACCAGGCAGGAGAAGCCCCAAGGGGCCCCAAGAGCAGCCCCTGTTCATAGTGAGCAGGATCTGAAAAGCAGATTGGAGAGTCTTACATTCTGCCCAGCTAGGCACAAGCCACACCCCCAACCCACCCTCAACTGTCTGTCAGTGTCCTCTCAGTCTAAAATGCCCACACACCCAACAGGGAAGCCTTGGGGAAGAGCACCAAGTCCAATCAGGAACTTTGTGTTCCCAAGATTATCTGGAGGAGGTGCCCAAAATGCCTGGAGTGCAAGCCAAGGTCAATGCCGCATGGCTGAGTGTCCTCTCTCTGGGGTTCAGCTGCAAGATTGAAAGTTCACAGCAAGAAAGGGCAGAGCAAGAAGTCAGCCACGCCGGCCGGCCAGCTGCTCTGAGTGAACCTCAGGTCCAGGAGAGTGCTGGACTTACATTGGCACCTACATTCTGCCGTTCTGAGCATCCATGCCTCACACAGGCTTTCCCTCACCCCTCACTAAGTGTCATTCTCCTGCCTCTTACCACCAAGCTGGGCCATACGAAACTGCCAAACAGTCCCTTGTGTTTGTCCTTTAAAAACGGTGATTTCATGTGGTCCGATAAAATGCTTCGTCAGAATTTTGAAGGCAGAGTTTGTGTATTCTTTGCCCATTTCTTTGAAGGCTGGGCCATGCAGGAGATGAAAGAAATACAAACCACACAGACTGGCGGTTCTGTGCGCTTATTTTATTTCACCTTGCCAAGTAATTCACCAGTAGTTTCTTAGAAAGTCCCTCTGCAGCCCTTAAGTAAAAATTAGTTTGCACGATTTCTCATTACTAAAACGGGGCCCTTCTGTAGTCCAGGCATAATAACTACACACAGAAAGAAAAACAAAACAAGCAAACCAACAAAAAACAGTGGTTTGACTAATACCTTCTGGTGCCATTCACTAGCAGATTCACCAGGACGATCTCAAAAGGAACGTACTGTTGGTCTCATTTCAAAAAATTAAGAAATTCTTATAGAGTTTTGTTTGGTTTGTTTGTTTATCTTGTTGGTGGTGGGGGCAGTTTTGTTTTGTTTTTGTTTCTTTGTTTGTTTTTTGAGACAGGATCTCTCTACATAGCCCTGGCTGTCTTGGAACTCACCCTGTAGACTAGGCTGGCCTTCAACTCAGAGATCCACCTGCCTCTGCCTCCCTAGTGCTGGGATTAAAATGTGTGCCACCATACCTGCTGCTACAGAGTAATTTTAAAAGCAATTATTTAAAAGAAAAATTACAGCCAAGCAACAGGCACTCAGGTGTCTGAAATAGGAGGATCAAGAACTCAAGGCCAGCCTGGTTTTTATAGCAAGAGCCTGTCTCAAAAAGAAAGGGAGCCAGGCATGGTGGCACATGCCTTTAATCAGCATTCAGGAGGCAAAGGCAAACAGATCACTAAGTTCAAGGCTAGCCTGGTCTATATAGTGAGTTCCAAGACAGGCAGGCTGTCTGAGAAACCCTGTATTGAAAAAGAGAGAAAGGGGGTGGGGGGGAGAAAGGAAGAAAGGACTGGGGATGTAACCCAACGGGTAAAGTGTTCACTGTGCAGCCTGAGGACCAAGCCACACAAAGCTGGCTGTAGTAGAGTGTGTCTGTCATTGTGGTCCTCCTGTGGAGAAATGGTGGGTGGGCTCCTGGGCCACCTTGGCTGGTGTACACAGCAGTGAACAGAGAGACTGCTTCAAATAAGGTAGAAAGCAAAGCCCAACACACACACACACACACACACACACACACACACACACACACACACACTCACAAGATCAAGCACATACACACAAACATGCATACATAAGCACACACACAAAAAAAAGAGATAAAGAGAGGAGAAGGAGATAAAGAAGCAGAGAGAAAGGAGGCGAGAGAGAGGGATGCAGGAGGAGAGAAGAGATAAGAGGGGGGAAGGGGGATGGGGAAAGAGAGCAGAGGGGGCAGGAGAAAAGGAGGGAGGGGATGGAAGGAAGGGAAAATAAAGAGAGGAGTGACCAGAAGGACAAAGGAGGAGAGGAGAGGGAAGAGGAGAAAAATTAGGGAACTAGGGAGTCCAGAGGTCAAGAAATCCATAAAATATCACACAGCTGTTACTGTAAACAGTAGAAAGCTAATTCAAGTCTACATGATTCCAGGCCCACCATGCTCTCCCAACCCCACCACTAAGGAAATTTTTTGGAAAACATTTTATTCACACTGAGGGCCATGCAAAAAATAAATGTATCCACAGAAGACAAGCATACCAACAAAAGTATGCAGAGAAGCTGAGAAGCCGCAGTGTCCTGTTAGGGATCCCCTGAGTGCCAAGCATGGTAACACCCACCCTTAATCCTAGCACTTGAAAGGCAAAGGCAAACAGATATGTCAAGTCTACATAGTGAGTTCGAAGCCAGACAGGGCTATATAGTGAGACCCTGTCTGAAAAAAATACAAGAGCTAAAAGAAGAAAACCTGATTTTGTACAAATATCCCATTCTACATCCCCCCCATCCCACAGGCCGCCTCTTTAGCATCTTCAGTGTTCTTGACTTGCAAGACATTTTAACTTGATATACTTTAACCTTTTTTTCCTTTTTCTTTTATTTTTTCTTTTATTGCGTACACTTCTATCATAGCATATAGATTATTGCTAAAAATCAGGAAAAAAAGCATCTTTTTCTGGTGTAATGTGCATGACATACTCACTCACATCTGTGCCATAGTGTCACTGTTTCACATGTGATCCAAGGGTCCCAGTTCCAAAATTTTGCAGTTTTCTTTGTCATTCTTTGGTCCTCAGCCAGGACCACAGGCTGGCCCTGCATCTTTTCCTCTAATATGTAGTTGAGATGTCCATTGCCATGTCGATGAGCTTAATTCTTTTTAATTTTTATCTTTATTTGCATTGGTGTTTGGCCCGAATGTCTGTGTGAGGGAGTCTACGATGGA